GTTCGTTACATCCGGACTCAACTGTATTTACAAAGTGAGCACCGACAACATTTTTAACTGGTTAATTAATCGCATTATATTAAAAAGTGTGACACGAAAAAAACTGTTCCTCTTTCCATTTTGACTTTTTAGGGTTTTGTGTTTCCGATTTTTTTTACGTTCCTTTTAAACGTTTTCGTAAAACCTTTCAGTGATTCGAATATAATGCAAAAATTGTCTTGATGGAGGCAAGTTTATAGATAGATGAAAAATGTTCCAAGGACAGCCTTGTTCTCAGATTTAACTGGGCAGTAAATTTAATTTCAATCTAAAAATCTTCGATAATGTGTTGAAAAAGCGGAACAAGACGTCTAATAAAAACTTCCACTGTGTATTTGACCATTGAAATGACTGCTCGGATCCTACCTTTGAAGATATTTACGTACTAGTCATACCATCGATTTCAACTCGAATATATTTTGAATTTTACAAATCAAATGCTTAAATTATTTTTAGCAAGTCGATTTTATTATCCATTGCTTGTATCCTGTTTTACCGCGTTTCTCCTGAGATATTTTTATCTAAATCCGAGCTTCCGACGTTCAAACTCACTGACATCTGCTAGTGAAAATTACATTGGATTCTTTCACGTAATAAAGCCGTTTATCCATCAAGTATACTTTATGCACTAAATAAATCTAAATATTGAATGTAGGAAGTCGCTGTATTGGAAAAGACGAATATTTTCCTGTCGCTTTCTTCAACAAACTTCGTAATTATTAAACTTGAACCGAAAATAGAAGCTTTAAGAAAATATTAAATGCGACTTTTTGCAACTGTGCTTTATCCCCATAAAGATCTAAGTACCTATTAAATTTTTTTCATAGGTTTTTCTACTGGTTTTTCATTGAATGTAGCGATCAAGTTTGGCCCATATTCAGCTCACTTCGAATTTTTTAAATAATCGTTTGAAATGGAAAGTCTTTGTCGAATCCTTCAAACTCCGCCAGAATATTCACAATATCTTCGCCGTACAAACAGCATAGCTCGATTTTCCTACATAAATATTACGATTTTTTCCAAATACTTTCCAACTGAAATTGAATTTGAATGCGACGAAACCTTCGAAAATGTAACGACCTCGGCAAAGCAATAACATTTGGAAATGCATCCAGCTCACCCCAAAACCCTTTGGCCCTGACACAATGCCCCTAAGCCCAACAAAGTGCGGGGTCGTTTCCAAATTTTCTCAATTTCCCAAAACGCGCCAGCGCCGATAAACATTTCCGCATGAGAGGTACTACAAAAGCAGACGTTCTCGCTGAATTTACTTTTCGTTATGAAGAAAAACAGTAGTCAATACAACTGGATGTGTTTGAAAAAAGTAGGTTATTTGAATATTGCTAAAAAGTCGTTTTGGCAAAAGAAAAATTATTCAAAATAATAAAATGAAACTGTTTCTCTGCATTTTATTTGCTCCGGCTTTAGAGGAAAACCGCCTTTTTGCCTCTTGCTCTTTACAACACTCACTAACATACAAATTAAACAAATATCAAACGAATTTTACATTATATTGAACTTCAACGTTGTAATGCGAATTCATCTAGTTTCGCTCGTTATATCAACTTTCAACTAAAATCTGTTTTCCTTTTTAACTAGTCCCAAAACTAGACTGAAAATGCGGAAACGTAAATAAAATATATTTTTTTAAATATTTAATAACATAACTTTCTTCACTCACATTTATAGAATTTGTAATTAGTCCCTGTCTGTCAACGATAAGCAAATCTGCGGTTCTTGGAAGCAATTTGAGGGTTTTTTTGAATATATTTCTGTACGTGCCAGTTGAACTATTTCGTTTAAAAAGTATTATTTTCTTACTCTAAGTTCATTGAGTTTTTCTGAAAGTAATAAAAACACTAACACACACTAAGACGTGTTCTGAAAATTTAATGAAAGTTCGTTTTTTTAGAGAAAGACCGGACTTTAATGAAGGACTGACCCAAAGAAGAGCAAAAGTTCACGAAATACAAATAAGGGTCGAATATTAAAATACCCAGAATCAAGTGGAAGTAATGAAAGTTCCAAAAATACGATGGAAACTGCCGATAAACAGAAATAATCCGACCGCAGCAGGAAATTTAAAGGCCAGATTATGTAGCAACTACCTACTCAAACCACGTTCAAAAGGACAAATTGATTCTATAGACTGACTCTGATGAAGAGAAAAAACTTAGTGATTATTGGCAATAAGAAGATTGTTTAAAAGGAGAATGCTTTAGAGAGGTGTACATACATATGCTTTAACTTTTTTTAGTGCATCACCCTGTATATAGTTAGCTTTAATTCAGCTTTTTACCATTTTTTTCGGGAAACGACTGAGGTGTTGCCTGAACGGGAAATCCGCTTCAATGCCAAGCTGGGACATTCAACAAATTATTCTCAAAATAAAGTAGAAATGGAAATGAAAATTTCCTTAGTAAAGGCAAAAATTATGTATCACCGCTCTATGTAATATCGAACGAGTATCCAACTGTACGGTTGTGTGGAGTCGAGTCATTTCTACAGAATCTATTGCCTAGTTTAAATCGTAGTCAGTGGGTCAGTGCCAACTAGTTCCATACTAGATCTAGGCAAATACAATTTTGATCATTAGTGCACATTTGCGAACCGAATTTTTCAATTTGGTGACAGAAACCCGCACTGCAGGTGAGTGCTTGATATTCAACGATTTTCATTAGGGGCCAATTAGCTCTTCGAAAATACATTATTTATTGCAATTTACTGTACGGTACAACCAACAAATGCATGACTAAATTCTGCTTGAAAATGGTATCTCCGGATAAAGCCAGAAGGTTGATTCAACCTAAATTTAATGCACTGATTATACATGTTCTCTTGTTAATGTCGAAACAACTGTTTTGTAATCCACTTGTTACCAGCTAAACCTAGATAAAACCCAAGCCAATCTCGTTGCAGCCAAAGAGTTTTTAAATTTTGAAAATGCAGGAGTGTTTTCAATATTGGCTAATTCGCTAATCTGTATCTGCAAAACTAAATTACAAACTTTTCAGCTCGCGGAATGAAAACTTGGTTCAACAAATAATTTTCCTTGGTGATATAAAAACCCGAAAATCTCACCAGTTTCATACTATTTAGACCTGTGTTTCTTGCTCTGAGCTTGAAAAACAGGAAAATCTTTGTGAATCCATTTTTTTCCAATCGCGTTAAATTGCTTGCAACTGTTTTAGAAGACCGTCAATATTGAACTGCTAAAATAGTCTGGAATAAGTAGCAAATAATAATGCATGTTTTGATGAAATGCAACAGTTGCGTTATGCAAGATGATTGATGCGTTAATGAAAAATAAAAATAGAACAAATGTGTGCAATTTCGTCAATATCCTTTCCCGTTTGTCTTGTTTTAGTGGATCATTATCGCGATATTTCGACTATGTTCGCAGAAAAACCAAAAAAAAAAACGAATTTTTATGCCCACAGCAAAAGTTGCAAAATTATCAAAAACGTCCGTTTGAAGAAAAAGTTACTAGAAAAAAATGTTGTTTTACGGTTTGATTCTATGCGGATTGGCTGAAGTTTTAGCACATTTTCAAACCACTTGCAGAGCTATTGATCAATAACTATTTAGAACCAATTTGTATGTAAAACTAGTCCACAACTAGACAAAAGTAGTGATTAAGCAACATCAACATCATCAATAATAATAACAAACAATCGCATCAACGTTTTTATTTTCCTGTGCAAGACCATTTATTGTTTTGTTTTTTTTCTTCTAACTGGGAACTAGGTCGCTATTAAATTTCGTGGGTGTACTTCATGCATGTATAATTTGGTTACATGCACAGTTGGCATGTAAAAAGTCCTGAAAAGACCGCTTTAATAGTTGAAATCAGATAATCTGGCATATAATAGGCTCTTCGTATTGAATAATACATTTCCACTACCCGTTGCTCATTAACTTGTTTTTTAATAGATTGAAGAAACTAACGAGGGAAATTTTAATCGATTTTCGATTTCGATTTAACAGAAACTTGACGACATAATATAGGAAAACCTAACATCTAACACCCATAAACTTGTATGATAACATCGATTTTACTGCCATTTTCTCTTTTTTCTCTGTTAGCTAACTGGCTCACGTATGTAACTTGCATCTGGCTTTCTTCTGCAGGTGTGATTTTTATTACATCACTGCATTGATCAGCAAGATTTGATTAACCCATAACCTCGGGGATATAAATAAAGTCAACGTATTGGTGACATCATAACTGCAGGTTCTAAAGTTCAAATAAGAATACGTAAACATTCGAGTTTTACTTTTACAACATCGAAAGTGTGATTCGAAGGAATTTTGCCTAGATGATTTGGACATTATATGAATTTTATAGTTCAATGTCTTGAACTAAAAACCGTTTAAAATTTGGTGCCAATGGCTACGCCAGAGTTTTTTGATCCGAATGCGCACTAACCGACGAAATTGAGATAAAAAACACACCATTGGGAAAGATTTCTGCAGTTTCTGCTCTACTCTAATAAATCTGTTCTATTCTGGGCTCCAGCATAAGATACGTGCATATTGAAACAAAAAACAGAATTCATCATAGTCAATCAATCATCCTTTCCCTTAACTAATGATGTGTAACCTAAAATAGACTTAACAGTTTTGGTTCGCTCGTTTGATATTTCCCGAGAAAGAGTTTCTTTTAGATTAAGCAGCAAAACACGACATTTTCTGGCGGTTTTCATGCCTAACATTAAAATTCGCCACATATACATATTTATACGGGAGTAATGAGCACAAAAAACAGCCGCAGAGTTGAGGAAACGCTACATTAAAATACACAGAACTTTTAATTAAACCAGATAATTCCGTAGTAAAGCATGTGCTTGAAAAACTAGGACAATGCCATAAAAGTGGGCGACACAAACAACATTCAAGATTAGATTTGTGAATAAAATTTAGGTTGTATTCAATGTTCCGACATGGTACTTTCCGGCCGTATTTGCTTGTTTCTTTGTTGGAAAGAGCGCGGTGTCGAAGCGAATTCAATAAATACTTAAACCTACACCAATTTAGATATGCCTGTGCTTTAAATTTTCTCGTTGAAATCCTAATGTTAAAAAATAGTTTTATTTCAGTTAAAAATGACTTCCCCAGCACTAAACAATGGCAATGGCCAAAAAGAGTCATCCAACAAAGGATCGAATGCCACTCTTCCGCAATCGCCTGCCAGAAGTGCAAATGAAGCATCCGGCTCCAGTTCTTCCACTTCTGCACTAGTGGCGCCTTGGAGAGTCTTCAAAATGGTAAACTTGCTGATGAAGCAACATTGTTAAAATACAAAGGCCGAGATGACTTGAACCGCCCGAATCCAGGTTTAATTTTAGTCGCGAAAATAGCATATCAATTTTTTCAAATTTAACAAATCGTTCTGCAATACATTCATCCCATCCCATCAATCGATCAAGCGCTTTATAGAATATTCAGAAGCAACCGCACTCTAGAGTTACCCTAATCAGTTTTCCCTGATACGAGCAATTTAATAGTTCCGCCAAAAAAACTAGTGTTTTCCATATATCAGGTTTTTTATGCTTGAAGTTCTAGAAACTTAAGATATTTACTGTTAGAGATACTAAGTTTCCATAGAAATAGATAGATATAGGTACAAAGTATATTGGTAGAGATTTAAGCATATTTTCTAGTTCGCGAAATTATTAAAGTTGTTAAATTTTCCTAGACTATACGCACTTATATCTATTACCTATACACATATGACAATATTATTATTAAGTAAATCGTTGGTTTGTTGTTTATAAATACAATACAAGATGTTAGTGTGGATCTAGTCCATAAAGTTACACTATTGTAGAATTTGGAGAATATTTTTTATCCCGCGAATTGTTTTGTGAAGTCTTTCATAAAAAATTGGCCACATATTATTCTGCACAGTAACCGAGTTAATTATTTCTGTATTACTGTTGCGCTACAGTGAGTTTAGTTAAGAATAATTGATATAATGGCCAATAATCAGCAATTTATTACATTTATAACTGTAACATTTCGGTTGACCGTTAAAGGTAATATGCTGAACTGAGATAAATTATTCTTGCATATTTTTATAAACATATTTTGCTAATGTGCCGGATGAAGTAAACAATTAAATTCGACAACTTCAATACCTGTAAATTGTTAAATAAATTATCTGTTACACCGTTGAAAGTCTTTTAGATTTATTAATTTAGTTTCTAAGATGAATTCAACATATTTAACCGATAGTGTTCTAAACGTTATTAAATTGAGCATTCAATTAAGTTGCAGACTTTTTAATGTTCCTAAATATCAAAATGAGAGGAGAGTGAATAATCAATTCTCCTCAGAAGGGTGTTTAAGATAGAAACCGCATCCCGAAGAACACTGAACTTTTTGTCAGCATCTAACGCTTTTAATGTTTTGAAATCTTAGACTAGAAAGTTAAATTTTCGAGAAACTTTTAGGCAACGTAAAAAATGTAAGTACCTAGATATAACCAAGTCCTACTGGAATCTACCCATAGTCGCCTAATATTCATTCCGATTGTTCCGTACAATTTTCAATTGCGATCTATGAAGAAATAAAATAATGATAATAATACAACACTCACCTCAATTTATGACAACATGATGCAAACACAGGACTGGTGATGGAATTGGGCGAAGCCGAATGTGGACTCGAAGAAAGTTCTGCTCTGAAAAAAAAATAATTGAGCGCATTAACGCAAGAAAATTACGTATTTATTATTTATTATACGATAACACATTTTCCTCTCACCTTCTGAACAACTCCACAATATCTTCATCGAAACGGTAGCAACTGAAAGGGCTTTTGGGCGTACTTGGAGTGGACGGAATGGAACCGGAAGAACATCGCGAATTAGGCGACTTTAAACTGGAGCCGCTTAATTTTCTGATTAATCGCATCGGAAACGATTTTCGAACGATTTTTTCGCGAATTGCTTGCGAAGATTGGGTTGGAGAAACGGAATCCATCCTGCAAGGAAAGAAAAATTATTAGCAAAAGTAGGTACTCTTAGCTTTCCTGCCTTGATAAAATCAGCTTTTAAACCAATGTCATCACTAAAAAAATTATTTACTGGATAAAAGGCAAAGAACATACCGAAAATATTGATACGCTCTATAACGAAAATATCGCACCACTTTGATCAAAGTACAAATGGAAAGTAGTTGGCAAAAAAAATCGGCAATACAACTTGAAGATTGTAAAACCTCAAGAGATAAGACGTATTGCAGACCGCTGTAATTTCCGTTCAAATATCATTGGAAAACACAAAACCTGAGCTTGCTTATAGCAAAAATATGTTAAGCTTAATATATTTTTTAGCAAACTGGAATTTAGTGATAAGATATATCTTTAGCGTTTCCGATATCCCTTTCCTGTTCACCAGATCGCAAAGGACATTGTGGTCTAACTTGGAGAAATATTTAATTTTACTGTTGGTGTTTTGGGCAACAACCCAGAATGCACAATTTTTTAGATTTTTTATGTTACTTAAGCATCCTTTAATAGCGCATTGATGATTTTTTGTAAAATGCCTCAGTTCAAATGGGCCTTTTCGAATGGTTTCGGTTTCTATTGGTAGTCTTACCGTATTTTCAAATCTACTTACTTTTGGTTCGCAAGCAAAGAATATAATAAAGCGTACTTAATTTAATTTTTTTTTTCTTTTTTCGCGGATCTACATGTTGGTAATGCCTGTGAAACACTTCAGTAGAGACTGTTTTCGGAGAAACCCCGTTGGCATATTCCTATACAAATGACCCTCATATCTGGGTAATTAGCGATATTGCCCATCTTTTTTGTAAAGCCTATATTTAGGTCCATTATCGAGTTGGGTGTGTGCGAAGGGCGTAATTTGCATTAGTGGTCTGAGTACATACCTTTCAAAGGTTTAAAGGCATCCTGTGGGAATCTAATTTAATAACGCACATAATCTTGAATGTAGGTAGGTTTTTTCAGACCTAACTTTTACTCATTTCGCGTTAACGTTTGCGTTTTTTCATGTTAATCATGGTTTTTTTTGCCATGCCAAATGTTTTTTAATTTCGAAAGAGACTCGTCGATCTGCAATTAGCGTTGAAAAAAATATAAGGTGTCTTCCCTAAAAAACTCCCATTAAATCGATGTCGAGTCTTCATCTTGAACATCCTGAGTCGAAAATATATCTGCCATCAAGGTTAAAAAAATCGCCAAACTGAAATTGACCGTAATTTTTCGTATGTACTTAAATTATTAAAATGTTTTATAAGGATTTAATAAGTCAAAAAAATCTACTTTAAAAAGGGAACAATAATTAAAACCCCTATCAATATAATGACACAACATAATAAAATGATTGATGAAAATATGTATAAAATATTATTGTAATTTAGGTACCTACATAAAACGATTCTACATTTCTCGCACTACTCGCGCAAAATAACTCAACATTAATCAGAAAAAGATGCATTCATTTAAGTTTTTCAGCGTTTACAAAACATATTAAGCTGTAAATGTCCAAAGATTCCGAAATTGCGAACAGAAGACACATTTGAGATCCCACATCAAAATTATGTTAAGTATTTTTTGATCCACCCTGTACATGTAAGTTAAATAATAAATTTAACATTAAATCGAAAAACAGAAATTAACACAGTCGAAATTTAGATATCGCCTAAAAATATCAGGGTGTACTGACAACAATTGTTGAGGTAAGTTCAGTGCCCCTGAGGGGTGAGATGTAAGTGGTTCACTTACCATTACGTTGCCCATTTCTGCCTTGACCTTGAAGTCCATTACGGTGCAAGCAAAATCCTCAAATTGACCAAAAACATAAAAAATGTCTGGCAACTCCAAATAATCACTTGAACGTGAGAAATACTTGGGCCCCTTTCCGGATTCGTGCGTATTCAAATAACCTTCACAGGTTGCCAGTAAACGTCAGATGGGTTCAAATTTGAAAACCGATTTCATTTGTTAAAATCGCTTTAGCGGGGGAGATAATATGGCGAAAATGTCAAGGAAACCCTTAGGATAGGAAAATATTCCAATTTCCATTGAGGGCAATGGAAAACTGGGCCAAATTTTGTAAATCTTTGACGAGCAGTTTGCTCCCAATGTCACCTATTTAACGGGAAACAAATGACTACTTTAACCGGAAGTACGAGTTATTCAGGCTCAAATTAATGATAAATTAATAAGTTTAATCCAGTTGCACAGGTTTTTCAGTCAAAATACGCTTGATTTTAATTTTCAGTTGAAAAAATAGCAAAAATGAATGTCGTGTTAACTTTTAGTTAAA